TGCCCCTTGACTCCAGCAATCAGGACTGCCATAATGTAGGAACCTGATTAAGAAACCCTGGGCCCATAACCCCCAAGAGTAGTATGGTTCATATAAGGAACCTTAATTAATAAAGGCCCTATAGGTCCTACATTCGGTGCGACCACAAGAGCACAAGATGCATGCGGCTTCCCACAAGACCGTACAGTCGAGTTCAAGTAAGAGCAGTAGGAGCCTGGAAACCTTTGCAAACTTCGTCCGGTACATATGCCTCGTTTTTCAGCACCTAGAAAGTGTCACTGGAAAGGTTCGGTCCTGATGTGTCCCGGAACTTCATGGAGTTCAACGGCCTCAAGACGCTTAGCTTCGCAAGCTGGACTGCGGATTCTCTTCCTTACCAGGGAGTCGCGTCTGGGCCTTGTGTTCAAGATAGAGCATGAAACATAAGGCCACGATTTCTGCATGTGCCGACTTGTCGGAGTAAGTATATACATATATGTATCTGCATGCCTGTGTGTGTTTCCTGTCTCTCTCTACATAATTTATATACATATGTACCTTTTTTGTTGGTGTCTATCTACAGCTGCAGTCAACTGAGGATGACGCTTCGCTCCCATGAGGTCAAGGCAGGCCATTTGCTTGACATTGTGGGAATTGGCGGTTGAAGCTTGGGTGTTCAGTCAGGTTCAGGGTTTAGGGTTTCAATTTTCAGGGCATGGCTTGTCTTGGGAGAGCAAGTTGTGTGGGGTTGCGCAGTCACGAATAGTGCACTGCTTCGCGGCGACAGATGTTCCGGGCGAGACAAGCCTGCGGCATAGAGGATTGAAGCCTTGCAGCCCGGAGGCGCAGGGTTACCGCTTTGACCACGAGGGGGCCTACCCGCTCATCACCGTCTTCTCGGCGCCGAATTACGCTGCTGGGCAGGAGCTGGCTATCCATGTGTCACAATCATGCAGAACACAATCTATTGATTCTATACCAACTTCGGTCTTCAGTTGTGAAAGCATCCGATATTTCACGGCATTTTCGAGTGCTGCAATGGGTGGGTCGCAAATCACTGGTGTTTTGGCTTTTGGACGGATCAGTTCACCTTAGGTGGGCGCTGTGCCTGGCGGCAAATGCAGCAATGCAGTGTAACTAATTCGAGTGCAAATGCCGAAACCGGTCTGGATTTCAGCCTAAAAGAGGCCAGAACCCTAAGCTCCCTAGCCTAAACCCTACGACTCTCATCTGGCCCTCAACCCAGGTTGACAAGGCTGGCAACATGGCCTCCGTCGCTGTGCTGTGCCCTGGCTCGTTGGTGATCCGATTTATGCGCAGATGTGTTCCTGCATACCACTGCACATGTCTTCTGGTCTGCGGGCATGAAGAAACACGCATGCCTTCATGCTTGCGATGAGGGACTTTAAACAAGCGCGGTAAAGATATGACACGCTCGAGCTCCCTCTCCTTCTCCCGCTGTCTCTATCTCCCCCTCCCTCTCCCTCTCCCTCGCTCCCTGTCTTTCCCTGTCTCGTTCTCTTTCTTTCTTTCTTGCTTTCTTTCCTTGTTTCTTCTTCTAAGTTACTTCTTTCTTTCTTTCTTCTTTCGCTCTGTCTCTCTCTCTCTCTCTCTCTCTCTCTCTCCCTCCTTCCTGTATTTGTGTACATGCGCATCGCAGGTATGGTGTTTGTAACTACTCGCCGCATCGCTACTCGGGATCTTTGGGGTTAGTGCTAGGGTTTAATTGGCAGTCTTCTGTGGGAGGCGAGAAGGCAATGCTGTTGAGGAGTGTTCGCTGGCATACAGTCCAAGCCCATGCTGAAAAGTGAGTCTTCTGTGGCATTGCGGCATTGCGCCTAGATTCCTAGGACCAACGACGGCACAAAGATGGCCGGTCCCGAGTTTGTGCAGTATTCGGCCCAGCCACACCCGGAAACTTCTGGAGCAACGAGCGGGAGTGGGGAGGGATGCGTCGGGTATGGGGCTTTCTTTGGAGCTTTCCAGGCCTTGCGTATGTACAGTACAGAGTTAGCAGGCTTAGATTCTGCCCACCTGTTTGTTTGTGGGATCATCGAGCCAGAATGCAAGAAACGCGAAGGGTTTGTAGGACTCAGGGCCTTGGGGCGTCTCAGGTTCAGAGGGGGGGTACCAGGATTCAGTAGTTACCACTCGATGTTTCGAGTTCCTGCCTCAGGCCATCATACTTGTAGGGTTCTGTGGAAGTTTCAGATTTTCGTCTCCATGAAATGCACATTGTTTGTGGAGATTGGTGGGACGGGGAACGGTTTATCGTGCATAGTCGCCATCACCCGTATCGTCATCATCATGAAATCAACTTCGATCGTTTCTGAAAGTTGGGGGGGGGCTATGGCCTATAATATAAGGTTCGATAAACGAAAAACTCGAAGCTCGCGAAGCCCTGTGTCCTGTAAGCCCATGCCCGAGCAGATGAACCCATAAATCGCATGATGGAAGCCCAAGCCACAAGAAGCCTTTCACAACCCCGAAACCCAAAACTGGGACCTCGTTTCTCCGAGAAGCTCCGATTCAGCCACTATTACCTGGGCCCCCAAAAGTCGTATAATAATAGCCCCAAACCTATAAAAGGCAATTGTCCTACATACTTTTGGGGTCCAGGTAACTCCTCCTATTACGATTACTATCACTATTACTATGACTATTACTACTACTATCACTATTACTACTACTATCACAATTACTATCCTATTACTCTTAGCTCCTGAACTCAGGATGTGCCTTCCGGCGCCTATGCCGTCGGCGGCCCCCTGCACCCCGAGAGTGCTGCTGCAAGGTAAACGACGCCGGGACGCTCAGAAGTACGGGTTCCGATTGAGGCCTTCCAGTTCGGTTACAGTGCAGTAATATGTGTATACATATATATATATATATACATACATACATACATACATATGTATGTATCCGTCTAGTCGCTGCATGTGGAATTGTGAATTTGAGGCTTTCGGTTTGACATGGGCCATGGAGTCTTGTACGAAGTGCAGAGAGGCCGTTGCCCGAGAGGCAGAGACCTCAAAGCCAAAGCCTACTGATAAACCGCGACAAGGGAAAGACTTCAGTATTGCGGCCTTGAGTCTCGCTTCGATGTCGCCTTAGTCTTTGGGTTTCCAGTTCCGGTCCAAGGGCATTTACATTGAGAGCTTGGGAGTTTTGCCTCCGTATTTTCACGCATTGACATGCACCGACAGCCACATGCCAGCGGGCATCTACCTATAGCGAGGACCTTGCTTAGCTGTCATGCTCGCTTACCTCTCTTACCCGTGTACATGGGTGGTTGTCAAAGTTATGGTCCTTTTTGGGTCCCTATTATAATACGGCACCTATTCTTTAGGGTGCCCCGAAAGGGACCTCAATTTTGACAGCTACCCACGTGATAGCTTGCCGGTTCTGACCAAGGCTTCAAGGCATCATCACCCAAGAGGAGCAGCTGCTTTTTCAAAAAGATGTGCTCTCCTACAGTACTGTAGTCACTCTGGTTGACATGCTCCGGCATGTAATTATGGACAGTGTAATCTTTAGTTCTGAAGGGTCCGGAATAGCTGTCGGTACCATAGACACCTGAGTGATTACCAATGCTAGTCCTTAGTGTTCCTGGATATGACCATAGAAATCCTAAACCCCAACACTGAGATGTGCCCTCGAATCCTGTTGAAAATTATCTAGGGCCCTTGTATTGGGAAATTCCGGATCCTCGGAAGCCCAGGAAAGGGTTGGCAGCCCTGCGAATGCGCACAGTATGACGGTTGAAAGATTATTTGTGGGCTCAGGGTTCAGGGTTTCAGCACCTCCTTGACGTAATGTGCTTTGAATGTTCTTTCGGGTTCCAGTAGATGAGCTACTAATTAAACTAAACCGTATATAAACCACTAGCCTGGAGACTGTAAACCATAAACCCAGAGACTATAAACCATGAACCTCGAGACTAGAGAGCTTACCTTCATGAACTCTCTCTTCTCGGGGCCGCCAGCCATTCCTGGTTTGCAAGTAGTGTTTAAGTCACTGTTCTCCACCTGGCTGTCCCAATTTTCCCAAAAAGGCAGCGCAGGGTCACCCACCGTCGTAGACAGATCGCAGGCTCTTCTGCGGGCTGCATGGCAAAAGAAGCTCCACGAAACAACGGTAAAGTCGAAACATAGATTCTTGGGAATGCTAGTCTTTATAGGGCTCCGAAACATAGGCATAGTAGAATATGCCGAGGCCCCCCAAAAAAATTACCACTTGGGCGCTCAAGCTCTAAAGTATGGTCGAAGGTATGTCCCAAGCATAGTGCGCCACCCTCGTACCAGGCAGCCTAAAAGGAACCCTACTCTAGAGAACCAGCTTCACCGCCCTACTCCACATGAATTGGTTTAGGGTTTAAGTTCCCTATGGGCGATCTTGCTTCGCAGGCGTGACAGCAGATAGCAGAGAAAAGAGCCCTTGATCTGACTTAAACTAAACCAACACTTACGAAGCCTAAGGCTTCAGAGTTCTTCTGTCTTACTCTGGCTTCACGGATCCTTTCCGGCGTCTTTGAGTGTTTTTAGAGCATAGTACCTCTATAATATGGAGCCTTGGTGTTCCTGTGGGTGTTTTTCCGTATCCGTAGGGTGGTATCCTGACCAGACCACATACAGTGCCATCAAGAATCAAGAAAGGGGTGTGTTGAAGGTTACCAAAGCTGGAACAACCCCCAGAGAGGGAGTTTGCACCCTTTCGAGGAAGGTGCTTACTAGGTATGGTAGATGCTTAGTACGTATGGTCCAAGCTGCCTCTACCCAGAGGCCCCGAAGAAGTTCCTTTTTGGGATTACCTTATAGGGTTCTATATATGAACTCCAAAATGGAACTACTTTGGGGCCTTTGGGTAGTGCACAGCAATTCTTGTATCGACGGATTGGGATTAGAAGCTCTCCAGCTTCCGGATGAAGACCGACCTATAGCAGACACTAGCAAGTTTCAAGCTCGTAGACAAAAGTCGTAGGCTTTGAATTTTGGGATGACAAGTCCGCGTTGCCGAGACAGGCCACTACACAGCAGCACGGCGCACGTGCTGAAACGAGCATTCGCAGCGGCATTCTGGGAGGCGGTGCGTTGCTTCGTTTGCCAAGAAGATTCTATAGATTAAATCCGGTATGCCAAGCCTTAGCAGGCAGGAAAGGAAGTATGCCGAGGTAGCGGAGGTTGGGATTCTGGGCTACCGGCTCTTGAACGTACCGGTGGTGTTCCGTTTTGGCACCAGGGAGGATCACGGAAGAAGACCGAACAAGTCTTCCGGTGCAGCACGATGACGCGATAGAGGCAACCGCGAAGCAACAAAAGCAGTGGTTCATAGTTGCCGACTGGTGGGGATAAGCATCCCTAAACCCTACACACTATAAACTCTATGAGCCCTATAAACCCTATAGACCCTAAACCTTGTCATGAGAGCAGAGAGAGGCCGCCACTTCTGAGTCTCCGACAGCTTTGCTGGCAGCCCGGGCGCCAAGCCTTGCTTCCATGGATTTTTCGGGGGGGTTTCTTATTGAGGGATCTTAGGGGAGTTGCCGGCGGCTTGGAGTTGAGTCCATCCATAGTTTTGAGAATATTTGCTCGGGAAGTACCGCCTGCAATGTTCAGCGTATGAGGGGGCGGGGGGGGGGGGGGCGGGAGAGCATGAGACAGTTGGCATCCATCGCACGGTTCCATCTCGATCCCACTAATTATCGGCATGACGACATGAAGGCTTCTTGCATTTCCGAAGCCCGCCCTTCGCCCCATGAGTCCAGCAGTTATCGTTTTCGAGCAGGAGCGCGACCAGGCGCGGAGCTCTGGAACGTGCAGACTGACCGGAGCTCGTTGCCGGGGCAAGCTTGCGACTTCCGTTCATAACAGGAGTGCTTTGCCTACCTTTGACCTCGTTGCTGCGAAGTGACATGCCGCCGATAAATAAGTCTCCATGCTTATCGTCGTTGCTTGATCTTCACTTCGTAGACGACCTTTGCACCTTCGACAGAGTTTGGTTTCCCCCTTTAGTAAGACGGCAGGTCCTTTGGAAGGGCACTGGGCGAATTCCCAGCGAAACCGCATCCGCATGTCTGGGTGAATTGGCCGACACTGCAGATGCACACACATGCACTCACAGTCATTCTCAAAATTGTCATGTGAAGCAGGCTTCAATTTGGATTTTAGTGCCAGCGCGTGAATGTCGTGCTCCTTAGCACAAGAGTTGCACATGTTCAGTTCCGGTGTCGTGATGAGGATATTGGTACTACACAATCTGTACATCATATACTCCATTCCAACCTCGCGCCAAACTATTGCTCCATCCTCTGCCTCGCAGGTGTACACTGCCCACCTGGCCGCTCGATGGCTTGGCCCGAGACTCAATTCCATCACGCGACCCAACAGGGCAAGATTCTTCACTTGATGTCAGCTGCAACGTTCATTCACCTTTTCGCCTGCTGTGTCCTCAAATGAAGTGTGTGAAGAGCCAGGCACTGTGGATCCCAGAGTCGGAGCTGAACTTGTTTGTTGGGCGGACTGGGTGTTCTCTTCCAGATGCCATTCCTTAGATGTGTATCGTAGTAAATACCGAGATAGCATTTCGCTATTGGTTGCTCGAACTTGCCGAAGCAGCGCTCTCGCTCTGCTCCCGTCCTTGATCCAGACGGCACTAAACAACAGCTGGTGCTACTACCGCCAATTGCTTACTTCCGCCACAGAAGTAATATGCTGGCTTCGTTGCGTAGGCTGCTTTGCAAACAAACGTCAGCAAAAAGAAACCGTTGAGGCAGCACCACGAGCGTCAACATCATCACCGGCATCCTTTCATTATCCAAATGCCTGCACCACCAGCTGGTGTCCATCGCCATCATCAATTTTCGCACTCACTGACTGCTATGCTAAGCCCCGAACCCTTGCTCTTGCTCACCCAGGATCTGGCACGGTGTCAGAGCTTCGTGGCAAAGCTTTGGAGAGCTGCCAGGCACACACCACCACGATACGAAGGAGCTGTAGCGTACTAGGTCCTAGGTCCCGACCGGTTTCGGTGGCCGGCTTGGGGTTCAAATCTTCCGAAGGATTAAGAGGCGCAGGTCTTTGGATCCCACGAGGTCTCGTTTCGGATGCAGGCGGATTGTTTAGGGCTTTAGCGGGAGAGAGCGAGAGGAGGGGAAGAGCACCGAATCATGGGCAGTCTGCTTGAGCGCAGTCGGACAGGGTACCTTGAACTTTTGCATGCATCAACAGGATTGCTAAGCCCTGCTGGGCCCTGACTAGATCCTATCTGGCAGAGGCTTCCGGACGACATCAGCGCTCGCGTGCCGAGGAGCTGTTGTCATTTGCGTCGGACCCGGTATAGGCCAGAAGCTTCGGTAGCGATGCTGGGTCACCCATCGTAGGCTAGATACTGCAACACAAGAGGCGCGACATGACGTCGTTGTAGATAACGGCTCTACGGCTTTCACGGGCGAAATTGAACTTGCCGGGCTCCAGGATCTACCGACCTTTGCGCCGACATCTCAGACTCAGCTTAGAACAACAAGACGATCCGTTTCAGGACGTCAGGAACTTTGGCCAGGTTTTTGCCATGATTCTACCTCGCTGGGTTGTTCGGACCGCGCGGCCCTCCTGCGACCCACCGATTCCGCGGAACCCTGAATTGCGACAGCCCGGATCTGCTCCGGAAAGGCTTCCTTTAAGGGATTGCTTTCAAAGGGTCTTTTGAGGGATCTATTGGGACCCTTAGGGGTTCCTTTAAGGGCTCTATGCTGCAAGGCTGGCGGAGGTAGATCAGGGACTCTGGCATGAAGTCGCCGAAGCCAAGGTTCGAGGTGGGCACGACTGCAGCTGCGATTACGCCTCAGCTCGGTGGTACTTCTGCAGGCGTGTCTGCTAGAAGGTTGAGAACAGGCTTTCTTGGGTCTCGGACTATGTCATATTCCGATGATGGTGCGATGTTGGTGTTACCGGTGTCCTCACCAGACGGCAGCGTTGCCACGTGATGCATGCGTCATCAGTGGAACATGTTGGTGACAAAGTCGCGAACGGTTGACAAGAACTTTCAAACTATCTGGGTTGCATGGCCTGCACCATGCAATGTCATTGCTGCAGTCTTACGGTATCATGTAGCTGCAGGTTGTCGTGGTGTTGTATCCATCGTCCCACCTTGTACACTTAATGACACCAGTAATGCCGGAATGTCTTGCCATGTACAAGTCTTCCCACAACTTCCTCCAAACCATATTTGCGCACTTCCGATCATCTCTGTGCAACCAACTGGGTTGGAATGAAATCACCCACATCTTCTCAAGATCCGGCATTAGCTTCACAATCATACAGGGGCCTAACCGATGTTTTACCAATATCATTCCTTGGGGCACCTTCTCACAATTCAGCAGTATAATATACTCCAAAACCCTAGTCCAACTAATAAGGCCCTTATTACCTTATACATTAGCTGCACTCGAATACCCTAGCCAGAAGCAGACGACTGCACAGCCAGGAACACTTAAGCAGACTCATCTCCCATCCCTTGCCTGCCTGCGCCTCCGCTGATGTTCAGGCATGCCTCCAAAGTACGAGGCCCTCCAGGGTTGCTTTCAACGGAACTTGTGGACGTCAGAGTCAGATGTGGTGTCTCCGAATCTCGTTTTGAATACGTGCGGACGGTTCTTAAGCTCCTTTATGTGGGCTCGAGGTTTCGCAGGTTTTCGTACGAACAGGTTCGGAAGTTTGCACGTTTTTTTTTATTATACAGGGTTCCTTCAATTGGTGCTGTCTTGGCCATCTTTGGCTATCTGCGATTGCCTCTCTCATCTGTTTATGTCTTGTGGTGTAGTGTCGAGCTGTCCTTCTCACACATGCCCACGAGGCTCATGGCCGGTTTCGTTTGGGCCTGCAAATATAGCACTCAGGAACAAACTTGGTCTAATCAGTGCTGCTGCTAGATAAGCGTTTATGGAGCCGTACGAGACAGCTACTACGCTCGAACGTGACCGATCGAGCCCAGCCTATTCCCATCAGTCTGGACTAGGTCGTCCATGATCGGACTTTGTGGTATCCTACAAAATAGCCCACAAGCTTATCCTAATATTGGAAGTTGCTACAGCGCATTCCCCCGAGAGCGACAATTACGATTGTCCGCATTTTCAATCGGACACTGCATGCGCAGGCTGACGCCGATGGCAGGAAGCTCAAAGGATTTCAATTGGCAAGCTGTCATTGTTCTTCAAGGCACATGCTCTGCCTAGAACGACAAGTAAGTCCAGTTCGAGGCGCACGAAGTGGACTTTCTAGCTTTCCCCGAAGCACAAAGCCAGCCAGAAATTTAACTGCGAGAATTGAAAACCGAATTCCAGGCCATGGATGAAGGAGATGAGAGTTTCCGAAAATTACGGGTGCCTTGTTTTGGAGGTCTGAAAAATAAGGATCCTACTACTTGGAATACTGTATTAGGGTCCCCCATCTTCGGAAACTCCCAGATGGGTCCTACCTGGCTACTACCGCTTTCTGTTTGTCCTGCCACCCTGTAGGCGTGGACGCGAGCTTTTGGAAATGTCTCTCTTCTTGCATGAACGCGATGAGTTGCCTAGGATTGGCCATTGACATTCTCCTGGCTCCGGTACAGAGAAGTCCCGATGCTGACAAGCCAGCGGAGAAAACACTTGGTTCCCGTCAGAGTGCGACCAAAATAGTTAACATGAGCAGGTTTGCATAGATATTCGAACAAAATCAGCCAGTCGTCGTTTTGGTTGCCTTGTTTGCTGATTCTAATGCAACTGAGTGCATTCTCTGGTTTATATGATTGTGTTCCTTTCCTTGCGCATCTTGCATGCTCGGAAGCAAAACCGCATCAGCTCTCGTATGAAATTAGTAGAAGGGGCAGATAATTCATGATCTTTGGAAACCACCCTACGAGCCCAAATCGAGAAGACAAAAGACCTTGTTCACCGATTCGTGTGTTTTTTCTATGATTGTTTATGTCGTTTATAATGCGGTTACATGTCGTCCCGAAAGCCCTAGGTTACAGGAGTTCATTTGCTACGTCCATTGTAATAGTACAAATCAGCGGACTGAAGGGTGTTTTGCTACTGGAGCAAATGCAGGACTTCGAGACCAACATGAAGGGGTGTTGATGTAACATGCCTTTCGCTGTTTTGTTTTACTTTCACCTTTACCACCCAGACCTATTCGGCGAGTGCGCTTCGAGGTGAAGCTTCGGATTCCAGATTGTGGAACTTGGGTTCAGAGTGTGGGGAGTTTTGGGATTTGGGGGTTTGGTGGTTTATGGAAGGATGGGCCGAGAAGCACAGGTGATCATGAGGTGCTGGAATCCTGATGGGTACGGGAATCATGGTCTGACTTATTTGCGCAGCTTGCTTCACGAATTGACAGTGGGCCGCAGATTTTTCGATGATCAAGTCTCGCTCCTTTTGGTCGTAGTTCGGTTCTGCTGGCGATAACATGGAATTGCCAGCCTATGCCCTCGTTATGATGACGATGATGCCTGCTAGTCTTCTGCTGATTAGCTTCATTTTCTTCCGGAAAATGAATGAGCGACATGAGCTCATCTTTGCGGACCTCCACTACAGAGTTTTCCAACAACATCCGAGGGTCCTGCAACAGCAGATCGAGGCAAACGCATCCATTGAGAATGCAATGCAGCTAATCACCTGTGCTGTGTGCTTGGACGACATTCTGCCTGGCCAGCCTGCCCAGACGCTTCGCTGTGGCCATCAGCTCTTCGTCAAAACAACTGTATCGAAAGCTTTGGGACTTGTGCATTTATAGTTTTATGCTGGAAAACTCCTTACTTCCCCAAAGAAATTTCAAGGAACAGCGACCCATTAGCCTCGGTTGGAGCTTGCCTACCTCCCACTGCCTCCAAAGTGTGCAAGGGTAGTCTGTTGCAAGTGGAATGCTTGCCTTCTTGATCCACGCGGCCTGTCAGGTTCCATCCCGGCTGCATTTCTAGCTGGTGCATTCTGAAGGCCGACTTTGCTGTCCATTGTCCCACCTGCCGGGACCGAGAAGAATTGGAATATCCGGGTGCAAAAGTGATGATGCCAGACTGTTCTGCGGAAGCAGCCTGAGCCCTGCTTGTTGTAGTGCGAGCAGTTCATGTTTTCTGGACAGCCTGAGGTTGCCAGTTCCAGCTCTCTTCTCAAGAGCAGAGATGCAGTACTACCTATAGTCTCCATTGTAGTACCTTTTTGGGGTTGCCTTATAGGATCCTAATTCCTAATTATATATTTGGTTAAACCAAAAAAGAACTACAATGGAGACTAAGACTATAGGTAAACTTTAATGTTACCACAGTCTCAGTGCCCAATCGTGAATCAGAGGGTGTGCAAGCAAAGGTTGACGGTTGCCTCGTCTTGGGCCGATAGTCTGTGAGGTGCGGAGCTGCTGGGGCGGACAGAGCAGCTTAGTACCATCTGACTCGAAGAGGAGTCGGTGGAGAGCCTTGTCCGAGCCAGCTGCGCTCTGCTGTTTTGTAGTGTTTTCCTTGGACACTTCCAACTGAACATGTACACCCATACACATGTACACATGTATAAGTAGATATGTATATACATCTGGGAGTGTGTGCATGTATTAGATGATGCACATCTGCACAGGCGCACGTACACAGAAGCCCATGTATGTATGCAGGTCTGAATGTGTATACATGTGTGTGTGTGTGTGTAAAAGTAAATATATACACACATATATATATATATATATGTATATATATATATATGTATATATATACGCATGCCACCACGACAGCGGCTAAACTTCATCGTTCCTCGGGAACGACACCTGGCTGGTGGACTCCCGTCTTCGGAAACCCGAGCTTGACGGGTCTTCTTTTGCTTATGTTGCTCTTAACCTTCCGTTTCCGTGTTTCAACAGCATTCACGGAACAAAAAAACGATCCTGAATACCTCTGTTTGATGCAAGCGCACTTAAGCCTTATGCCCTATGCCCCTAAATCCTTGCTCTGCCGGACTCTAGGAATCTCAATACCATGGTCCGATCTACCCCAACACCCTTTTCCTAGTCCCTGCTTGGAGGTTCAGGGGTAGTTATAAGTCAAATTATAAGTCCCCAAACAGCAGTTAAGGCTTTAAGGCTCCCAACCCACTGAGTCGACCGAGCAGGTGTCAGTGATGTAAGGTGCACAGATGTAAACATCCTAGGTCCTAGGCATTCCTAGGAAATAAACATGAAGCCCAACGCCCGAAATCGCGTAGTTGCTTGATCTTCGAAACAGCCATCGGTATGTTCTGGTCAGGTAAAGGTATCCCAACAGAAGCTTCCTGACTTTGGCGCCTCGGGGAGCTGATCCGAGATTTCTCGCATCATGCACTTACCTTTGGTTAGTAGGGAATGGAAGGGGCCTTATAAAGGGATCTATAAGGGTTACTACAAGGGATCTAGGAGGGTACTATAATATAGGGGCCTTAATAATCCTATATCTTACCTTTGGTTAGTAGGGAATGGAAGAATGGTAGTAATAGTAGTTATAATTCTACTCCATTCCTCCACTCCGTACTACCCAAAGAAGTGTAGGGACCCACTTGGAGGTTCATGGGTGCTTTGATAAGTAGGGTTATAAGTAGGGTAGCTAAACTTATAACCCACAAATGGGAGTCTCCGAAATTAGGGGTACCTTATTTTGGGGTCCTTGCAATCAAGATCCTATTGTTCAGGGTACTCTATTAGGATACCCTAATTTGGGAAACTCCCATAAATCAACACTCCCAAAGAGAGGCGCTGGTATGTTCAACTTGAAGCCATTTTGGCTTAAATGACATCTGGCCACTACTGAACTGGGCATGACTTCCCGAATATCAGTCAGAACTTTGGTGAGGCCATGAATGGTTCGGGAAATCGGATGCAAGTGCCTTCAAACTCTAAGCAATTCAATGTCAGACGTGCTCGGCATGCTTCGCGGAGAGGCCTGCAGTCACGAGGGCATCACACTAAGAACGAAGAATGCTAAGCAGTGACTACCGAGAACCAGTAGTTAGAGGGCGCTGCTCGATCGCAGGTTTTTCCTGCCTGCAGTACCTGCCATGGTTTCGCACGCGGGTGTTATCCTGACTTTGATCATGTCTCCTGCCGCCATCCTGCTGGTCGTCTTCGCATTCTTTCAAAAAGTGGGCGACGGACAACGCGTGCATCTTCGGGCCTACGTTCCGCAGTCTCGCAAAGAGCTCAGAGAGAAGTTGTGGAAGCGACTCGAGGCGAGCGCGCACATCGAGAAGGCCACAGCTCTGGTCACCTGCACCATTTGCCTCGAAGATATTCTTCCAGGGCAACCTGTGAGGAGACTTCGATGTGGCCATCTGAATCTTGGATGCGAGGTGTACACATTCGATAGTGTTTGTTGTGGTAAGCTAGACGGGCTGGCAGCGGTGATGCTACACATCAGAGGAAAGAAGCACATGCCTTGACATGTTGACAGTCCTGGCACATCCCAGGTTCCATCCCGATTGTATATGCCGCTGGTGTTGTCACAAGGGCGACTGGGCAGTGGCGTGCCCAATGTGCAGAGACCGTGAGCCTTTGGACACAATAGCGTGTGCTGCATGAGGTTTTGCATGGTCTTGCCGTGGATTTAATACCTCAGCTGCAGGCCACCACCCCGGTTTTATTTCGAGCCCTGTCTTCAAGCGTGGTCCTGAAACACTCGGCCGATGCCCGCCACAGCTTTGCGAAATGTAGCAGTAATCGTTTCCCCCTAATATTACCCCCCCTGGATATAAAAGATGTAAAAACCTGGATTTCGGGCCCGGAGTTTTATATTAGGGGGGGGGGGTTCGGGTCATCCGGGTGTGAGTTTGATTGGCAGTGTTTCATTTGTAATTCCTAAACCCTAAACCGGACCGTCGGTAACAAGGACCGCTTCTTACGCTGCCGTTCCGGCTGTAGCGCAGCCAGTTAGCCTCGCTTTGCTGTTGTCTTTGGCTCCGTTAAAACTCATACAACCCTAAGCACCCCCTAGCCCTAATGTTTTTTCTTAACTTTCCACTGTGGTCCGGAAACCGCAAAACTCCGGGAGCCGGGAGTTTTTTTACATTAAGGGGGAGGTTGAATGTTTGTGGCACGCGATTAGAGCAGCATCGTCACTACCACACATCCTTTCTGGAGTTCTCGAAGCATCTTTTGGTCTTCGGCTTGAACCCAGTCCCATGCGCTAGAGTCGGCAGATCATAGAAAAGCATCGTTGGCAGTGGTCCCTTTCGTCTGGGTGACATCGGCATATTGTGGGCACAAGCCCACCAGCAGTTGCTCGCATATGTAAATACATACATTGCATGAGAGATCTGGACCAACTGACCTTTTTAAAATATCTGAGGAGATGAAGCAAAGCAAGTATGACTGAATCGACTAAACGGATTCTGCCTACTTGAAGACAGGTCAAGCCTGATACCATTCTTAACTTAGGAGAAGCTTCGGCCTGTTGTGTCACACTGAGATGTTGGATCCTTCAGGTCGAGCTCGTTCGTTTTTCCCAAGGGGTCCAAGTCATAGTATAAGAACATACTTTTAGGGGCCCAAATACCTACTAAGTACCTACTAGAATAGCACCTACTTTAATAGTCCTTGGACCCTTTGGGTTTGGGTTTGTTGCATCCCTGCAGGTCCGTGGCCAAGTGTTTGGCCAGCCAGAGCTTACATTATCTCTGCCCGAAAATTATAGTAGGCGATGCATCCGAGGTGTCTGTATGCGGAGTTGAAGGATGTAGCAGCTGGCTGCTGGCTGTACCGGATCTTCTGGGTTTTAGTTTTCTGCTGGATGCATCCAGTTTTGCCAAATCTCTGGGGAGCCCACTGGGAATGGGCGGCAGTGTTGCGACATGGACAGCTGTTGTGTGACGCAGTCTGCCAATCCGCCAGAGTCCGAAGCTCACACCACATGACCGTCACCTAAAGCTAGCAAAACCATGTGTGCTTGCATGTTTGTCAAAGTTCTCTGCACACAAACAGAGTCTTGTTGGCTGGAAAGTAGAGGGACATCAACAAAACACACGAAATGCAGCACCGTGGCGGAAGCAGTGCGGAAGCATTATTACAGCTTGTTCCCATGATGCTGAGGCAGCATCCACACACATCACGTACTTCGCTCGAGTGTACGTATACGCATGTGTGCCAATGCATGTGCTGTCTGTATGCATATGACAATAGGAATAATTGCGAGCTGCACATCTACTTAATTATATGCAAATACGTACGTCAGTCTGTCTGCCTGGCTGTTTGTTTGTGTCTGTCTGTGACATTGCACACAGATAATTGACATACGTGTGCATGCATGCATGCATGCATGCATGCATGCACATCTACGTGCTAATGCATGGCTCTGCGCAGCGGCCTCGATGTTTTTTGTGCTTGTATGGACATTCGTGTAATTACTCATTGTATCGTTGTGGTTGTTTGCCTCTTCTCTCTTCGTGCATTCGTCTGCTGGTGCTCATGGTCTTTAAGTCGTTTGGGATTATTATTGTTGCAATCAGCGATCTCGCCTTCGGACGTGGCAACATGTCCAGCATTGCATCCTCAACGGAGAGATCCGTTTTGTGCCATAGCCTGGTTCGGTCTGTCGACGCTGAGAGAGGCTTCCGGACCGCTGGTATTCCAGGCTGCCTCCTAACATGCCACCTTTGAAAGTCGGACATGTATGGGCACTCTCCCGGGGAAAACGGCAAGTGACTGTGCTCGGCTGCATGTTTTCCCAGTCTCTGCTGATGCTGAAGTTGCTTAGTCGCAAGAGGAACCCGCCACCCCAAACCCACTGTCACTAAAGTCACTAAGCGTCGCCGAGGGTCAGTTCCAGCTCTGTCATGTCAAAGGTTTGTTATTGTAATGGGGTGTGTGTTTGTCCCACTGCGGGTTACGGTTCAGAGCCACCAGTCATGCTTGAAACCTGCATTCGTGTTTTCTCAAGCCTTAGGAAGCAGGCCCATAATGTTAGGAGGCCCTCTGCCTCGTCCATGAAGTGTTCAATTGATGCAATGTTTTCCTCATTTCCACTCTCATCCGCAACATCGTGGGAATATGCACTGGCCAGACATTCCCCTGTCCCCTCACTCAGACACCCTGGCTTCGTCTTGGCCTGCTCCTGCGAAGCCTTAGGTAGAAAACGTTCATCGTCGGCTCTCCTGCGGAAAATATTGAGAATACTCTTACACAGATGTAGCCTACTCCAACTTTGAACCTTTTCCTTGGGCTGCGGCACCCTTAAGCCCTAAATACTAAACCCTATACCGCCCCAAAGTTAGGAACGCATAGACCCATCCTTGCGCACCCTGCTGCCATGGAGCTGAACAGAGCCTCAGCCTCGGCATGTCATCCCAGGCTTGGGAGTTCCGTAGGTTTAGGGTTTAGTGTTTAGTTCAGGGTTTAGTGTTTAGAGTTTAGGGTATATAGTGTTCAGGGTTTAGTGTTTGGTTTACAGTACTGGTGCAGGGAGGTTTTCTAGGGTCCAGATACATGTCCATGTTCGTTCATCTCGGTTCGTCCACAACGGACTACGGTTTCAGGTAGGGCTTGGAGGTCAGCATTGGCCGCCAAACTTTGGCTTCAAAGAAAGATTGTGGGATCTGGTGCTTTTGTATCCTCCCATCTGCATGCCCTGGTTTAGATTTGCGATCGCTTGCTGGCCACCATGATCATGTTAGGGCTAGGTCTCAGAGAAAGACGAAATTCCCGTCAAGCCGCCACCTGTGGGAGAGTTTTGGGTTGAGGGGGCCCCTGCCTTACGAAGCGAACTTCCTTTGATACCCTGACCCTGCTATCCCTTGTAGACAGCCCTCTACACCCTAAACCCTAAACTACCAGACCCTACACCCCAGATTGTGTTCATTCCGACCCAGCCCCCCTGAGGCTTTGAGGTATGGCGCACAAGGACAATGGGGGTTTGATCCGAAATCAAGCCCTGGCCCCTGTCAGACGGTGATAGTGGTTATCTCGTGCCACTGACACATCTGTTTGCTTCTCTCTTCATCTCTCTCCTTCCCGGTCCCGTCCTCCCAGCGCACGAAGTCAAGCATGACATGTGCACAAGCGGGCTATCGAACACCCGTGCAGGCCTAGACATATGCAAGCGCTATGACAACCCCACGTAAGGATGTGAGCTGTAATAATGAGCAATGGTAATCACCGAAGCAACATGCGAAGCATATGTTCTACACACACACATACATGTGCACAAAGGGGCTCAGCATGAACTGCCACCGACCTTATTCAGATTTGTTTATGGGGTGGAGTGGACTGCAACTGGTAAGTATCCGTGCCTACACTGCAGCCGTAACCTTGAGTAAGCCCCTTCATAAGCCCAAAACCCTTAAACCCTAACCCTATCCTGTCGAACCTACGTCTGCAGACCTTGCCAGGCTAGTCCGAGAGTGAGTGTCAAAACCCTACCCTGTTGCAAGGAGGAAAACATAAGAACAAAATGCAATTACCTAAACCCGTAAACCCTAAACCCTTAAGGCCTTGCCCGGATTGTCCGAGTGTGAGCGCCGGAACCCTTAATCCCTACCGCTAATTTCTTAAACCCCCTGCAATGCGGGCTTTGTTCTTGCGAAGTAGGAGGCAAAAAAAACAAATAACACCCTAGCCTGGCCTGCCTTGCGCGAGTGTGAGCGTCGAAAACCCTGTTCAGAGTTCGCCAGCCCAAAGGTCCTATGTACTGTTATAGGGGATACTTCCCTAAGTCATAATAGTAATTCCTAATATGGAAACCCTACATTCTACTATATCGGTACATAGGACCCTTTGGGCTCATACTTAGAATCGGGCTTTAGGGTTCCTTTAAAGGGATCCTTAAAAGGCTTCTATAAGGGATCTATAAGGTTACATAGGACCCTTTGGGCAGGAGACGCTCTTCGCCGTGGTACGCAGCATCAAGAGCGGGCCTCGCAAAGCTTCCCAGGCACGCCACGGCACGTGTTATTCGAAACTCCTTGCTGTTATTATTATTATTCTCATTGATTACTCTTACTGTTGTGATTATGTATGGTGAATTTGATTCTTGTTTAATTATTTGTAGGACTGTTACTTATGCCAGGCACGGTCTTGTTCGTGTGAGCATTGCTGCTCGGAGTCATGGGGTGGCTTGTTTTTTGTTTCTTGCCATTATTGACTTTATTCTTCGTTTACTTGTGTGTGTTGCTGTGTCGACCATAATGTCGCGGTATGTAGCGGGCTACATCTTGTCCTTTGGGGCTCCTGCGAGCACAAAGACAGCCTTCACTAAACCCCGAGTTCTTAAAGACCGATTGCTCTTCAGCTTTGCCGCAGGTTTGTTGAGGTGGTCTCTACTTTGCTGCACCGGGGCTATTCCAGGACATCACGGGTTAACAAGGGCTGTAAGCCTGTAAGCAATATATACCAAAACCCTTATCGTCCTCAGGCGCCTAATATATAACTAGTACACGAAAATGCACTATGTTCATACGGTAAGGTATGATAAAACTGCAGAATACAAACAAAAAGTAGAAGATAATCGAACATGCCTTGACCTTCAGGCCGCCTCCAAGCTGCTTCGACTAGGACTGGTGCCCTGGCAGCTGATATGCTGTAAAAGTAGGAGAGCTCGGATCGAGTCCGTGAGAGAGAGAGAGAGAGAGAGAGAGACCCGGGGAACAAGAGAGAGAGTGTAGGAGAGCTTGGAGGTGAAGAGGCGCATACGTATGTATATATAGATAGATATATGCATGTATTATTTATTTGTTTCTGCATGCACACATGTTTGTGTATATTATGTGCAAGTGTGTGTCTGTGCGTATTCATACTGTCGTTTGTTTTGTTCAGTGCATTTTTGTCTTGTTGCTTGGTTGGGGTTTCGGGGTTGAGAAGGGCACATGAATGAAGGCTCAAGGATGCAGAGGGCGTACACTACGGTTTCCGGTGGGACGGCTCGGCTGGTTTATGGCAATGTTTACTCCTAAGGCCCTAGGCCGCCAAAGGATCCAGCATGCGAGGCCTGAACCGAAGTTGAGAGAGATCAGTTTTGGTCGATTCGTGGCGCACCTCTGCACATCGGTACATGTGCACCGCTCCATCTGCCGACCAAGCTGAGGAACTATCCATCTAGCTCGTTGTGAAACTGTCTACCTAATCTACTCAGTCTGAAGCGGGCAATCAGCCGACTCAGTAGGGATGTCGAGGTGCACAGGCTTTGAGCTCGGAGTGAGTGTGCCGCCAAGAATGTATCCAGTCTGACTATTCCGATATATCATTGACCTACACACATGCATGCATACAGATGCACAGGCAAGCAGACATAAAGACAGACACTCAGCCAGACATGCAGACATATGGCCAAGCAGAAATACATCTGTACAAAAACGAACGAACATACAAACATGCCTCCTGCATGTACTTACATATACGCACATACCGACGGAGACAGGCAGACAGAGAGACAGACAGACACACAGACACGCAGACACAAGGACCCACACACACACACAGAGACGCACAGAGAGACAGACGTGCATGTTCGCATACATTACACATGCGTACATCCATACAGTCATATCTGTCATACGAACATGCAGCAAACATCCCTGCCTGCCTGCATGTCTGAATGCCTCTCGACCGACCTGCCTGCCCACCTACGAACCTAGGGCATGCATACATACATACATACATACACACATACGTCAATGTCTGTGCCAAAGACTATGTAAGTATCTGTATGTATGTTTGTAAACTATGTAACATAAATAGTTGTATAGAAGTATACTGCTGCTATATATAGCGTTGAACAACTCTCTCTCTCTGTGTATATATATATATACGTGTGTGTATACATATGTTTGTATCTGGATACAGCAATATGTAACAGTATTTAAACATTTACATTCCTACATAACCTTAATAAAAAGACTGTATACATACATACGTACATACATACACACACACACACACACACACACACACACACACATATATATATATATATATATATATGTACCAACGGGGTGTAGTGAACCCTCGCTCGTGAGTTTCGATTGTTCCGACGTGTGACCTGCAATGCGGTCTTCGACCAGCCAAGTGGGAGCCAAAAAATATATGTAGGTACATACCGCGTATATACATACATGTATGTACGCATACACGTCCACGCATTCTTGTCCTGATGCCTTGCTCTCACCACGCTCATTTTGCCATACACTCTGTCTCCTTCTCTCTCTCTCTCTCTCTCTCTCTCTCTCGCTCTGTCTCTTCCCTAAGTTCCGCCCTATTTCTAGATGTGTGCTGGTCTTCAAGGTCGAAACCGACCGAGACCACCTGGCCTTGATCCGGGCACTGGGAAGGCAAGGTGCCTGGGCCGCCTCCTTAGAGGTGCTTGGAGGGGGAGGAAGAGAGGAGTCTGGGACTGTTTTGCAGGAGTGTCCCTGACCTTGCATGGATTTCCGAGCTCAGCCTCGTGGAGGGCTTATGGGCTAGAAGGGCCGTTCGTTGGTTTTAGTATACAGGGCTACGCTTGATTTTCCGGGTTTTGGATTTACGAAAGGGGCGAATGTACCAGTCTAGCTTATGCTTACTCTGTGTGTGGGTGGTGTGCGGAAAACCAAACCCATATACAGCCGTTTGGTTTCCAAGACCCTTTTATTTTAGAATCCTTTGGGGAGCACTTCCAGAGCCTTCGAAGAAACCGTTGCACAGCCCCTACATGAAGCTCTATAAAGAAACCACACGGTCCCCCCGTGGCTGAGCTCTTGTCTCTAAGCTCGGGCAGGTCTTTGAATGCATGCAGAAGGCGCAGCTGCAACCCAGTGATTTGCACTGCACCGCGCTGATGCGGGCCTGCACAAAAGGCACTCTGGTTAGTCTAGCGTTCAGGGCCTATAGGGACCATCGAGTTTAGGGTACATTACGGAGTCTAGGGTTTGTCTGCGACCTGCCTCAGGTGGAGATCCTGCTACAGCGATGCGTGTTTTTGCTGAGGCCAGAGACACCACATGGAGGGCAGTTTTGCCATCATGTGTGTTTGCTATCGTGGTATATATATATATATATATATATAGAGAGAGAGAGAGAGAATATATGTAAATAAGCGAATAAATGTGTACATAATCATGTCAAGTGTGTGTGTGTGTGTATGTATGTACACACACATATATACAGATGCATGCACGCATATGCGCCGGCATCCTCTTGCTACACATCGATCTCCAGTGGCTTGGTCCTGTGTTGCTGCATTCCCTTGAGGCCTGGACGGCCCTAAAGCTTAACCAACTATCTGTAGCCTAGCAGACCAAGCAGCTTTCCGCAGCTTGAGAAGGTAATATTGAAGTGACCTGCCAGTGTTGTCTTGAACATCGAAAAAGCAGGCTCTGCAAGAACTATGCCTGTGTCCATCACTGATGATGGTGTGCGTGTGCGTGTGTGTGACTACAAGAGATTGTCGTCATGTCCGGGAGGCCGCGGTTTGATAGCTTTGCAGCCTTATCGTTGTAGTAGCTCTTACGAGTACCCCGTGTGGGACACTTTTCTTTTCAGGAACCCCTAAAGTCTATCACCCTCTTCCTGCAGTGCACTGGCCGTCTGCCGAGCCAAAATCTGCTCTGGAGTGCTTCGCAGGTTGCCGAGCCTTCTGCGATGGTCTTCGCCGCTGCCATCTCTACCTGTGGAGCGGCTGGAGATTGGGAGTGGCACATCCTGAAGTGGAACATGTGGAGGGGTTCATCGCATTCACACGGACAGTGATTTCAAGGGAGCCATTTCGGTATGTTGGCTGTGATGTGAGCTGGATGAAACCTTCCGCTACAACTACTGCTGGAATCGACACAAACTGAGACGGCAGGCCCTCCTGCCCATTCTTTGCAGCAGCCCGTAGATTGCAGCTCTTCCATCTAACGACTTCCAGATTTGCAGTCGGCTCCTCCTCATGTCGTGTCGATGGTAGATATTCGCCCCTCGCCCACATGATTCAGACCTAATACAGGGGCCTTAATAATTAGAATATTGGTTCGGTGGTATATTATACTATGTTTATAAATCGGAACCCCCAAAACCATTAGATAATAGAACCTGAGGATCGCTCTGGACCTATTATCTGCGATGGAGGACAGGCCGTCCACGTGAGACTTTAGGTAGAAGATAATGAGAAGATTATGTATCGCTTGTTTATAATTAGAAACGTTCTAGCGAAAATCGTGACAGGACGCCGAGCTAAACCCAGACTTGGTGTCCTTCAATGCAGCCTTGGCGGCCGCGTGCCGGCAGTAGCACCATTCGAGCTTGTTTGTTATCGGGCTGCCCGCTGTTGCATCGGAGACAGTACACGCCGCGACTAAAAGCCCATTCTAAACCTTTGAGTCTTTGAGCCTAAACTTGCCACCACTGTGCCTCAAGACGGTGCAAGACGGTGTGATGTCAGACGGTATGTCACCTCCCTGTCCTTCCAAGCTGCGCGGGATGTCTCACCGCTCGTCGAGCAGCCCCGCTCTGGCGAATTGGAACCACGACGGGCGGTGCGAGTTGTGGCCCAAACGAGCCTCCCCAGCTATCTCAAGGTCCAATTAGGAGACAGGGTCCCGGGCCTTGCGGAGCTGGAGGCCTGCCACAGGGCCGTGAAGTCCAAACCGGCGCTGCGGCTGCTCGAGGCCCTCCGTAATGCAGGGGCATAGGGTTTTTAGGGTTTAGGGTTACCTGTTCTTCAAGGCTCTTTGGGATGTTTCTATCTTTAGGCCCCGTGATTTATCGAAAGCTTACTTTTGACACTCAGAGCTTTGCGAGCTCGTCTTGAGGGCTGGCAGCTTCGAGGATACAAGGCATTCGTGGTTTGGGGTAACCCTTGCCTCGATCAACCCCAGAAGCGATCTGGTGTGAGTATAGCAAGAATTGAAGAAGGTTTGCGTGATATGAATATTTGTTCTTGTCTGTATGACCACAGGTATGTTTCCAACTGGAGACTTGCTTGTCACATCTGTATCTGCTGTGGAACTAACTTCATGAACTCGCTCAGAAGCCTTGACGTGCTGCGCTAGCATAGCACAACATCCCGTGTAATTCTCCATCTTACATTGCAGCTCGTGTGCATTCTGTGGCTTCTGCGTGTCGCATGCAGCGATGTCGTCTGAAGGTTCCTTAACCTGATGCTGGACGCGTTTCGCCATAAATGCGATGCGTCCTTCTTCTCCTTACTGAAGGGAGGCGGTCCTTTCAGGTCCGAGTCTCTCATCTAAGCGTCGTTGAGCATGGCATGCCTTTCCCTGCTGTAACCCACCTCAAAATTTAGTAGTGTAGCCTTAACGGAGCTACTAATGACTTTTAAAGATGTACACTGACGATCCTGCAATGAGACAAGCAATCGTGGTCAATCATACTGCCAACCATTTCTGAACGGCTTTCTATACTTTTTTGTTTTTCTTCTTTTTTTAAGTACTGCCCAGGCCCCAGCAGAAGACCTCGAAAGCGACCTGCTCGCGAGGAGATCCGGCGGCGCGAGCTGCAGCCTGATGTGGCTCTGCAAGCAATGCAGGAAGTTTAGGGTTTAGGGTTTTAAGAGCTCCAAGCACCTCGGATTACAGCAACTGCCCATGCCGGCCGACTTCACAACGCCAGTAACAGGACATCACCACAACAGCGTCAAGGTTGCAGATGAAGGACCTGTGTCTGAAGTCGACCTCGCAACCTTGTCTCTCAGCGCAGCCCTTGGACTTCCTAAGAGTCTCAAAGCTTCTTCGCCTCAAAAAGGTTGCTTGAAGAGGGGACAGTGGCTTAGTAGGGATGGTGCTTGAGATTGTCTTCAGCGAAAGTTTGAACGTTGCTCACCCTCGGCTCCTCCGCCGCCTCACCAGATCCCAATCTTCCGCACTGTTTCACCCAGGTGGTGTCCTATAGCACCGTGATCAGTGCCTGCGAGGTTCTCTTGTCTGACGATTAGAGCTCACCAGCAAAACGGTGTATCAGCGCTTCCTCCTTCACTTTTTCTCCGGCTAGACGGTGTATATTCGGCTTTCGTTTACAGCCAAGTAGTCTTTCATAACTTTGTGTAATTATATGGACCAGATGCACATAAGTACATACATACACATGCGTGTTCCCTGCGGTGCGACATTGTTCAGCTGGGCGGGTGGCAAAAATACACATGCGTGCATACACTGGGGATATCTAGTACTACATGTTTACATATACAGGTCCATTAATTGCAGCTGTTTCAGTTGAGGTTTTGATCAGAAGTCGGTGTAAATCTGGGAGCCTGAGCATGTGCGAGGAGTCGCGGAAGCCCCGCACCCGAAACGTTCGAGCCGCTCCCAGCAGCGTGCCCACCAAGGAGGGACGGCGCTGGCTTCAGGCACTTCGCCTCCTTTCCTCCATGGGTCAGGTGGCTGGGCATCAATAGCAGAGCCTGAAAAATGTTCACGGTACGGGGACAACTAATTTCCAGACGGCGATCGTTGCATGTTGTGTGTTGGGTCTGGTCTTCAATGCATATCATAAATCAACAACTTTTTCAGGTGAACTTCTGCAAGGCTTGCTGGTAGAGATAGTGCACGATAGCGAAGACTCCCCACATTTGCCACATGGCAGGTCCAAAAGGCGAAAAAGGCGATCGCCATGTTGTTGTTACTGGTCTTTACAGGGTCGCCACGCTAGATTCTGCGGGAAGGGTTAAGCCGGCTAAGCCAAGACATCATGAATCACCACGGGATAGTTTACGTATCACTTCCACTTGTTTTTCTCGGTGGCTGCAATCTGCAGCACGGGTCAGGCTGCAGGCTCCGGAGGTTCTCTGTATAGCGGTCAGCATCTGCTGCCAGCAGCCAAAGCCGGAGCTACAACCCATCATGATATAAGCTGATCCTCATGCGTGCAGCGGTGCAGAACAAACAAAGCGGTTTCTGACCAAGCAAGCTTCGAATTTCTCTCATTGCTGCATCTTCGGTTTCTTTCTCTCCGTAGCCAGCACAAGGCAGGGGTGCAATAGATACGGCCTTGCCAGTGCCTCTGCTGCTGATGAGGGATACATGCCCACGTTTCGCAAACACTGACATGTCTTCGATTATGCTGCTGCCTTGGCGGATTGCTTCCCCCACATATCGATAACAAGATCCTTGTTCCTCACAAAGATGGGCCTCGCTCTCGGCATACAATACTTCATCTCAGTAGCTGAGTGGGTACTCCGCACTTTTTGGGATATACAACCCCCTATAGAACTGAAAGTGTACGCGCCTTGGGGGCCTATATGAACTCAGCAACTCATTGAATTTTGTAAATTTGAAACGCAGGTCAAAGTACCTCCAAACGTGGTGACCTTCAGTGCTGCCATCAGCGCTTGCGAGAAGGGCCGTCACCCGGCTCCAGAGGTATTCGGGGTCTTTCTCATTGTATCGAAACGGGTTGCCGAGCCAGCTCACCGTCTTTATAATTAAGTGAAAAGTCTAGTGCTTCCACCTTTCTTTCGGGCTTTCCTCATGTCGATGTGGAGTCTGAAGTTCGTTCCGAGTTTTTGGAAACGCTTGGACGTGCAACCTGCAAGGTGCTGCACAGTTGGACGTTCCAGCATTCTCGAATGGACCAAGCTTGATGCCACGCCTAGTTTGAATTCTAGTGCCGTCCGAGCATGAGACATGTAGCTATCTCGTCAAGCCTTTTGCGACACCTCTATTGAACCCTGCCGTCTCTCTGCAGAGGTCAGTGGGAAAGGGCCCTACAGCTGATCTCAGAGATGCATGGCAGCGGCAGCTTAATTCAAGAGTCCCAGAAGAGTAAATCCGTTGAAGTTGCTTCTACTACACTACTATGATGCTGCTGCACTACCATACTACTACTACTACTATGTCGTTCAGGTGGGTGACAAAAATGTCGTTCATCCTCCCCAGTCCATGGCTCCTTCGTACAGGCATTACACACGTATGCATCTACCACGTCCACGCCAGGACCGGACGCACCTGTACATACATACTTACTTATACTATCCGCCAACAACAAATACGTAGAACGGCATAAAAAAAGCGACTCTAGTGTTAGGTGCATCAAGCTCATTCAAGCTCAGCTTGATTGTGCTGCCAAAATTGTTAGGTGCATCCCTGCATGTAATGCATGGATGAATGTATGTATGCACGTATGTCTGTATGTATCCATGCATGCATGTCTGTATCCATACATGTTTGTCCATTTATTTGTCGACCTATCCACTATCTATCTATCTATCTATCGATCCACCTATCCACCTATCTACCTACGCATACATGCATTCATGCAGAGATACATATCTCATGAGTGTAGCTCTTTGCGAACACACTCGTGTTTCGCAGCATCTAGGCCTGCGGTAGCTTCATGCGCCGAGGCGTCGAGCCAAATGTCGTCAGCCACGCCTCGGTGCTGTCTGCATGCGAGCAGCTCGGGCTGACGATTTAAAGATAAGACTACGGTGTATCATGGTAGATAAAGAACTAAACTCTATAATGTTTAAATTTCACGTGGCAAGTGATGGCAACCAAAGCAGCAAAAGCAACAAACAAACCTCGCAGCGATAGTTATTTTGTGAGTATGATATGCTACCGGCAGTGACTGCAACGTCAGCAGCATTAAGGCTGGGAGGGTAATGATCTGTTCTTGCAAATCTAGTTTGGTTGGGAGTGGATCATGGAAGCCACAAGTTTAGGACTCGACCCGGCATGCGAAGGCCACGTTCTGTTGTGGTCGTGAAGTGTTGCCGCTTCAGATTTCGCCCAGGAAAGCACAACAGTGGCGCTGGG